CCTGAAGCTACCGTATTTGTAGGGTATCGGGTAGAAATCTACAGGCCAAGATTTTTGGTGTGTCATGGACACAGAAATCCCAAGAAAAGGAAAACAGTCCGGATCCGGACCGTATACCCCTAWAACTCGAGGTATCAGGTTCATATATTCTCCCTGGAACTAGCCAAGGCCGCATTTGACAAAGATATTGTCTTAGTAACAGCAAATGGCCTCCTTTTGAACTGCTCCAGGACTCCCAGGGAAAGGGGTCCAGTATTACTTGCATGCGCATGTGCAAAACAAGCCAATCAGATTAATAGTCACACGTGTAGCGACCGCTTTTAATTTTCAATCCCCTCCTAACAGAATTTGCCATTTTTCTAAGTTCACATTTAATGTATTCTTTTTTGTTTGATTCATTAGTCTGCTTTTGTCTGTGTTAAGCCCCATCTGTCACTGACAAGTAACACTAAGATGGAGTACTAACTATGTACTAGATGCAATATAATAAACMGTTTTTGTTTTKAAAATTAACATGGAAATACTTTTGGTCCACAGGTCTACTGTTCTGGAAAGTGCCAAGTAGGAATTTCTACGGGGTGAGAAGGGAACATGTTGAAGGTGGAAAAAAAAGAAGAGAATTTATGAAGCTGCTCAACAACAAGATCAGGATTTGAAAAAAATTGAATGATAAGGAGGACTCCTTGTTAAACCTTCTGCAAGCGGGACACCAGGTGAACGAAAAACTCACAGAGTTTTTGAAGTGTCCCATCTGCTTAAGTGGCCCAGCAAACCTGCCGATCTATATTAGTTGATGTTGTGAGATCATGATTGGTTGTGTTGAATGTGTAGAAAGGTGGACCTCAGGACCTCCCCTCATTGTAGGGCAGATGGCCCAGATTTCATGCCAGTTAGAGTGAGAGGACTGGAACCAATACTCCAGCTTCTACATTGAATAAGGTCTACTTTAACAAAAAAATATTTTTTCTTTGTTGCTTGATCTATATTAGTGGATGTTGTGAGATAATGATTGGATGTGGTGAATGTGTAGAAAGGTAGATAGGGGGTGGCCCCAACAGGACCTCCCCTCATTGTAGGGCGGATGGCCCAGATTTCATGCCAGTTAGAGTGAGAGGACTGGAACCAATACTCCAGCTTCTACATTGAATAAACTCTATTTAAAAAAATATTATTTTTTCTTTGTTGCATGATTTTTCATAAGGTGTGCATGTACTCATTCTGTGATGGAATTACTTAAGTCCTTTTGGAAATCAAGGGCCTGTACCCTTTTAGTAAACAAAAAATAACTTTTCGCCAATGACGCTTCATAGTGGATTAACGCCTATTCATTAAAATAACAATGGAGATTATCACTGTTTTTATATACCTGTGAAAAACAGAGGTCTGTGAAAAACAGAGGATACAGAAAAACTCTATTAATTTTATGTTTATTGGTAAAATATATTTCAAAATTATTCCTTGACAGGGACATTGGGGTTTTTTCATTGGCTGATCCGGCAATTTTTTCAATGCAGATTTTTGGATTTTTAATCTATTTAATTGCAGATTTCTGGAACCCTCCAAACATCAAATTTGTGGATTTGATGAACTGAACCAAAATGACAGATTTAATATTGATTGGTTCCTCTTAGAGGTGAATAGAAGTTGACTGCCACACTCATACAGGTCGTCCCTTAAGGGGTCATTTTCAGAATTTCTGACAAGCACCCCTCCTCCTCTTTATAATATCCCCCAAAATATCCAACACATAACATGAAATGTTTACTGTGTACTTACTGCTTTGTTGCAACCAGAAATTCCCAGAATACATGTCATTGTTTTCTGTACAATACGTAGTTCAGTATTATGAATGTTCATAAGAATTGACCATGCCATACACAATGGCGGAATGATGCTATCTGCTCGCACCTTGGACTTAAGAGGCTTAGGGCAGGCAATAGCAAATGAAATGTCAGCAATGTCTGGTTCCTTATTCAGAAGCTCTGTAAGTATTGTTTGCCATTTAAAGTCTTTAATGTTATTATAGCATTTTGATGAAGCTCTCAAAACAGATGAGTCCTGACCCTTCTTACATAGCTGACTATTTTGTTGATTTTTGACTATACGTTTATACCCTTTTTGCACTTATAGTTTTAGAGAAACTGAGTTCTGTGACAATAGAGCAAGAAACTTTGATCATCAAACCAATTGGACCAGTTCAGTAACTTCGTTCACTGCGCAAAGAAAGTTTGGAAAAAAAAAACAAGCTTTAGTCGGTGACAGAACCAACAAAAGTTGAGCAGAAGTCAATCTGCATATCGGTCCGTTCAACAACAGAATGTGAGACTTTGTTGATCCTAAGCAAACATTACCGAACTTCGCTCAGACTGCATAGAACTGATTTCAGRGAGATAAAACCGCGAAAAAAGAGGGGGAAAACAATCCTTTCTCTTTGAACTCGGTATTTTTTACCACRCGCAAAACTTYAGCAGAAAAACGAAAAGATGAACCAAACATTGAACTCTAGCTCTCATAATTCATGTTATTGTGTATTTTTGCAAATTGAA